CGGTGCGCGGAGCCTTTCACGCGTTTTAACGTTTCACCGCCCGCCCCGCTGAAGCGCAGCCGGGCGCTGGGAGGGGGAGGATGAGGAGGAGCTGTGCCGCTGCCCGGCTCCCCGCCCGTCAGTGCCCGCGAAAGCGGAGGGGGACGCCTGCGCTGGGGACACGAGAGGTTATCGCAAACCAGTTGTGAACCCCCGCTGGTTTTGTTGCAGAGGAAATAATGAGGGAACAATACATGGAAACCGATGGCAGAACAGAGGCTCTATAGGGCCGAGTGGGTGGGGTGAGGTTTTTGTCTCTTTTTCCACGGACCCCTCTACGGGGCTCTCTCTTTGTGGGTGAAATGCTGTCATGACACTTGAGCCTTCATAACGCCAGTAGCGAGCAATGGTTCGAGTCATAACAAGCGATTCCAAGTGTAGCGACAGGTGAAATACTATTTTAAAAGGATGCATCATGCTGCACGGATGTAGTAGGGATACCTTCTTAGCCAACAACAGCAACATATCAAGTGACTTCTTCCACATGAGAGTGCTTGAAATTACTTGTTAGGAGACTAGACCGACAGACCGAATCCTTTTTGTCTCATATGTACACAGGGCTTAGTGGAAACAGCTGATGGTCGTCCATAGGGAACGCAAATAAAATTATTGATGGGGATTTCCATACTTGCATACAAATCCAGCTGTTGTCAGATGCTTGCCATCCCTATTGCCACAGTCAGACGTGTTTCACAATGATTTGTCTCACAGAGTTGTCAGCCCTCCACAAATACTTGACTGTAGTACTTCATCTTCAGAATCTACTTTGTCCAAGTAGAATAGCTTCACAAAAAATTAAAACCATTTAAAAATCATCTTTCAAGATTTTAGTTGATACAATTGCACATGTGATAGTTAGTGGTCTAAGGATTTAAATGCAATGAATGAAGATGAACACTCACATCATCCCGAGCAAAAAAATGAATAGCAGAAAGATGTGCAGATGTTACTATGGTGCAGCCACCTTAACCCGGGCCCATGTCATCTTGAGGCCTTTTCGTATGTAGCACCTCACTCCTGCTTGCAGCGCAAACATGCATTTGCAAGGATGTTTGTCAGGTGGGAAATATGAGTTGTGTTCAAGTTAGAAGGCTTATGCGGAAGCCAGTGTAGGCATCTCTGAAATGAAAAACATATTTATCAGTTCATAGTTGGGTTTATAAATGCCACATAGGATCATAGAATGCTTTGGGTTGGCAGGGACCTTCAGGGGTCATGTAGTCCGACGCCCCTGCAATGAGCAGAGACGTCTTCAACTAGATCAGGATGCTCAGAGTCCTGTCCAACTGACCTTGAATGTTTCCAGGGATGGGGCATCTGCCAACTCTCTGGGCAACCCCTTCCAGTGTTTCACCACCCTCATTGTAAAACATTTCTTCCTTATATCCAGTCTAAATCCACCTATAGTTTAAAAGCATTACCCCTTGTCCCGTCACAGCAGGCCTTGCTAAAAAGATTCTCCCCATCTTTCCTATAGGCTCCCTTTAAGTACTGAAAGGCCTCAATAAGGTCTCCCCACAGCCTTCTCACATGTAGTTACCATTTGAAAATTAAATAGAAAGCTGATAGAGATAAGCTGGAGTAGGTTATAAGTGTGAGGCAGAGTATGAAATAATTTGAATATTTTTTACCAGTAGGTTCATTAAAAAACTTACATGTTGTATATAGAAGAATTTCTGTGCACAGCCCCTGCCTATACACAGGACTAGGTAAAAATCACTGCTTTAAAATGTTTTTATTCAGTGCTCAGTATAAGGTTCTTTACTACATGCACATTCTCTAGTAATTTCACTTTTTTTGTTTTTTAAGCACATTTACTATTTCAGGTATTAAAATTATGTGGCATAACTTGCTGCATAATTGATTGTAACCTTACCTGCTTGTTGTGATGTATGTTGCTTTTGAACAAAGATCCTGGATTCTTAGGAGTTTTCTCCCTTCCTTTTGGGGGGGAATGTAAAGGAAAAAATGAAATAGTTCTTTTATAACATTCAATAGAAAGGATGGATCAACAGGTTTGTACAAAATGATGTTGCTTATAGCAATAGTTAACTATTCCGAAACCATTTCTGATACAACCCTGGAAGTAAGGAATCCTCAAGTGTTTATTTTTGACCTCTAAGATAACAAGTCAGTTTTACAATGAGGTTGGCATAATAGACTTCTACAAAAGTAATTTTTAAAATTTATGATGTGTTTGGTTTTTTTTCTTACAGTCCTTTAAACTCCTGGGATTTCTTGATGTTAAAAGTGTCCCATGTGCACGAGAATCGGTGCTCTATGGCTCCCTGGGATCTTTAGTTGTGGGTCTTGGACATTTTGTAGCAACTAGTAAGTACTTAATCCTTCTGGGGTTTACATATTTATTTGCAAGAAAAAACTAATTCCTATTTGCTGTTAGGTTTATTAATAATGGGAAGTCATCCAAGGTTTTTTCCTCTAATTTTTTTGAGGATTTTTGTTTATCTTTCAGGTAGAGTTAGAAGATCTTGTGACTTCGCAGTTGGTGGCTTTATTTGCACAATGTTAGGATACTGGTATGTAAAACACTTCTTGAATTTTGACAGACCTATGTTGGTTGCTTTGTACAACACGATCCCTGTCTGACCTTTCACACTGGTTTTGAAACTCCATTAAAAACTTGCCTACCAAAACGTCCTCTTCCTTCTCCCCAAAACATTTATTTTTTTAAAGGAAAGGAGTTCAATGCCTTTGAATTTTTATGTTAATATTGGTTTTGCTATTGCTATTGTTTCTTGAATCCTGAGAGATCAAACCACCCAGTTATTTCCGTCTTTCTTAATTCTTTCTTTTATTCCTTCACATTTGCCATCCTTCTGTCCTAATTATAAAGGCAGCATACTAAATGGTCATGAAATTACAATCCACATTATAGAAATTAGCATTTTCCATTGGACTGGTATATCCTGCTCCTCAGTGGCTGCATAATGTTTGCCTTAAAGAAATAGCAGTTACCCTAGTATTTTCTTTATGCATCATTTCCTAATGAATTTTGCTAGCATTATTATATGTGGTTGCAACTTTTCAACTGGCTGAATAACTCTGATTTGATACTGTTGCTCGTATAAAGCAGGGAATCGTGTTTTCTTTTCATCCCCTCCTCTAGGTTTTACTGCAGGTACAATTTGGCCCAACAGAGGATCCGGCAAAGAATGCTTAAAGAAGGAATGAGAAACAAAATTTTATTTGAAGGCAGTTCTCTTGATCCAGAAAGAAAACAAACCGGCAATGAAAGAAGCAATTCATAGCCTGCTGTAGAGGAATCTGTGGTCTAATACAGCTTTGGGAGAAGGGGGTCCAAAAATGGCAGTCTTCCCTGTAAATGTGTGAGGTGCCTGAAACTGATAAATCATGCTGGCTTTCCTAGCAAATCCCAAGCAAGAAAATCATAGTGAACTGTTAAGTCAGCACACAAGCCTTTCTTTGTTTCATATGTGTATGTATGTGTGTATACGACTGTGTACACAGTTACGAATGACCTCCTGTTAAACATCTGGGAACTGATGTGTTCCGTTACAGGGTCTTGAGGATTAATGACGGTGTTTGGGGACTGCTTTAACTTCCGTTGAAAACAGAATGGTTCGTTTTAGCAAAGTTGTAATTACATCTCATTTAAATACAGGAAAATATTTTCATCCGCTGTTCTCTGAGAAAATGTATCCTTCAGTGCTACTGTTAATTGTGCTCTTTGTAAAACAGAAATATTGAAACAGTAGGTGAAGGCTTTGCTTGTGCAAGGTGGGTGATATCAGTAGCCTTTGTAAGATTTCAGCTGCAGAATAGCTTCAGATAATTCATACACACTGTGAAGTTGAAGGATTTCCATTTTTGTTGTCTGTGCGAAACTAAGAATAAAATCACACTTCAGAGGCAGTCGAAGCTATGTAAGTAACTAATCTTTTTACTCGATTAAAAATACGGCTCTTCTGTTTAAGACATTTCCTTACAACTGGTGGAATAATAATTTAAATTATTTGTAAGTAGCAACAGTCAGTAGTTTTTTTTTTAAAATGGCATGTTCTACTTGTATATTTCACTGTACGTTTTCGGTTAAAAGAACTACCGCTATTTAATGTCAAGGAAACCATCTTATTTGGAAATACATGCTAGATCTAATTGCATATTGGTAGAAAGACGAGTGATGACATAATATTCCTTGCTTGCTTCTATCTACGTCAGTGACACGAGGTATTTACTTTTTTTCACAAAATTATTTATATTATATTATGCTGTAAGCACTTTTTGGTCTAAAGGCTTTCACCAAGCAGAAATAGTCCTTTCCCCCTACCCTAAGTCTGAGAGTTTGCGATCTGTTGTTAACTCAAGTAGGCATGGTGAGGTTTGGGAATCTAGATGTAAACAGCAGCATTGCTCTACTTATTTAGTTTGGAAATATACATGAAAGCACTAAACAAACATGCTATTTACACTAAAGTAATTCAACTTTTACCCTCTGTGGATTAGCCTCTTACAAGAAGAGAACAAACCTTTATACTCTGTTTCCTTTTTTTCCTCTATTCCTCCTGTTTCTTCTGGAGGAAACAAGAAAGAGCGATTTTATGGAGGACATTCGGTTCAACAGTTTTATATAAAAAGGCTCCAGAAAACTTGAGTTAGTGCAACAGAACACTTTCTGTCCTCACTGCAGAATCGAAACTCAGAAGCTAACTGATAGCTAACTCTTAATTCAGAAAAGAAAAATGTTCCCCCTGGTTCTGTGCTGAGGGGGAGGGAGGCTCCTTCCCTCTGGACGGGGTAGGAGGTGTTGCCTCGTAATGCCCTTAGAGCGGCAGTGGGAAACCGAGTGAGCCATGAGCAAGGACTTAGCAAGCTCCTGTTTTAATACATGGTTGAGTTCTTTCCTATCTGACCTAAGAAAAGGAACTGCAACCTAAGCAGGGGGTCTTTGGGCTGCGAGGTCATAGTTCAGCTGGGGAGTTCGGAAACAAAAGCAGGCAGATGAAAATTTACTCTTTGGCAAAGGGCAGTTGCAGAGAAGGAGGAGAATGCTGGTTTGTACTTCTAGGCTGGGGAGTTCGGAAACAAAAGCAGGCAGATGAAAATTTACTCTTTGGCAAAGGGCAGTTGCAGAGAAGGAGAATGCTGGTTTGTACTTCTAGGAAAGAAGTTAGCATGCGCATAATGGCACCCTTCAAAATGCATGAGTACTGTGACTGTGTCAAGCAAAAAGCAGAAGCATTATGCTACTGTGCAAATGAAAAAATCTGGGGAAAACTGCAGCATTAGATCTTCTCCGGTGTTAATTGGTGTTGGTTTAAGCTGCTGCGTTTAAGGATGTTAGCTCAATAGCAGCTTAACCACAGTATTAGCAGTTCTGGCCAATGCCTATGAAATTTTGGATGTATCTGCATTGCGTAGGTAACCAATCTAATCCCTCTGCCTTGCTTTGCAACATGTAAAATGAGCGCGCTGGACGTTAACAGAAGAATGGGGAGAGGGGCGATAGGCAGGCAGGCTGGCTGACGTGTTTGAGCTTCGTTATCTGGTAAAAGTTGAGGGGGAATTGAGCTGAACAGAAGTCGGAGCCTTTGCTGAAGGGGGCGGGGGGAATAAGATGAGGAAGCTGCAAGCAGGACTAGGTTGGCCTGAAAGGGGAGAGGGTCTGCAACAGCAGAGGGAAGAAATGCTTGTGGTTAAACCGGCAGGGGAAAAGGTCTCCCCAAAGCGCTGGCTCCAGCAGCCCCTGTACCAGGTATGGGAAGCGGCTTGAAAGTGAGCGATGGGTTACAAGACCCTGGTGAAAGGGTGAGGGACAGGACGAAACCCCAAAATCTCAAAGCTATTAGTTGTCATAAACTGGGATATGTTCACAAGGAAATAAAAATTGTAGTAACTTAATAGAAGTAATTTTAATATTTGAAAACAATTTCCTAATTTTTAAATCAGTGTTTTTAAATCAGTAAACCCCTGTTAATGCTCATTTTTTTTCATCTAAGCCACTGTTGGAAAGAGGTAGCGTGCATCTGTGTCTTATTATTGGAGTGGATATCTTTATTTTGAGCGTTGCTGCTAATGGCAGATGCGATAGTTCTTGCTATGTTGAGGTTCAAAGTATTCCTCAAATTAAAACGTACCGGACAGTTACTAGAAAGGAAGAGAGAGAGTAATTTTGAAGGTGTTTGGTTTTCAGCCCTCTGAGTGAGCAAGCCTTAAAAAGGAGAGACTGAAGTATAGCAACTTTAAGCTATAAAGTTACTAGAACCTTGTTTATTTTACTGACAGCTACGTTACTTGGTCACTAAACGGGGACAGCTTAGTTTTTATCCCTGAAGTTAGTAAAATCCTCCCTTAAAGCGATCTGAAATGCCACCAAGATAAATAGATGGGTTTATGGACCCACTCACCCCCCCCACGCCGTACTCTTCCCGCTCCCCACAGCAGCCATACTTTTGGGAAGAGGCATTTGCCAGCCCCCTCCAGCAGGAGCGCGCCCTCTGGGCTCCTGGCAGCAGTCGGCATATGCATGGCAAGGGTGTGCATGTTCCTGGCCTTTCGGGAAGGGAAGTCAAGTCTCTGGAGGCCACCGTCAGAAAGGCGTTGGCCTAAGGTTGATTGCTGCCCCTGTCGCTGGAGGTGCGTGGGGTCAGAGCGCCTCTGCTCTCCGGTGCCTTTCATTACAGCAAGCGTCGTGCTTCGGCCGTCAGCGACCGCCTTAGAACCCAGGAGCTTTCTTGAAGTTGACAGCGGAGGTGGCTACAGCCGTCATCCCGAGCTCATCAGTTACACCTTCACCCCAGCGGAGATTTTTGGGAGGAGTTATTGGCATTACCTTCTCGCTGTATTTTGCAGGCTTCCGGGTGGTTTTGTGTGCCACCACCACCCCCACCCCCCAAGTCCTCAAGTGCTGGGAAGGAAAGGTCCCTTCCTATCGTTAACAAACCTGATCTAGTTAGCAGTGTCCCTGCTCAGTGCAGGGGGGTTGGACTAGATGACCTCTAGGGGTCCCTTCCAACCCAAAACATTCTATGATTCTAAATGAGGCTGGCTTTTGGTAGGGTGATTTTTTTAGGGGGGGGAGAAGTATGTTAGTTATTTCTGTTGTAAGCAGCCCAGGTAACAATGAAGTACTGTGTGAACTCGGTTGTAACGAGTCCCAAGTGAAAGATTTTTCTCCAGCTTAGTAGAGTAATTCCCTTACTTCTCTCTCCCCAGGCGTTTAGCTCAAGAGCTCAGTGGCTACCAGTGAGAGCGGTTGGGTTTGCTCCATTTAAAGTTTGAAACAAATGTGTTATTTCCTTGAAAAACTGATCAAAACGAAGTATATCTTTACAGTAGTACGTCCATATGATCAGGAAGTTGATCTTTTGATGATTTTTTTTTTTTAATTTAATTTGAAGAACCAAGAAGTAATTAAATGTCAGAAGTGGAGCTGAGTTGTCGTTAATGTGACACAAGGCCTTGGAACATACGTCCTTCTTGCACTTAAAATGGCAATGTTACCCTAAGCCAGTATGGCAAACCCTCGGATGGGGGTGGGGGAGCGGGCTGATGAAAAAAAGGAAAGGCAAAGCCTTGGGTAAGATGTTGTTGAGTAAAACACAGGCTTTTATTCATGGCTACCAAAACCCTGACTGAGGCTGTTCCTAGGCCTTCACGTTTTGACATGCTCTCTTATTTATTTTCTGTGTGGGCTCCTGGTTTGCCTGAGAGCCGTCCAGCAGTGGGTCTGCCTGTTCCTGCGGGAATAGGTCATGGCGTCCCTGTATCTGCTTGTTTTAAAGACTTAAGAGCAGTGCGTTCTGAGGAGGATATTTTAATCCTTGCAGCTTATGTCACCTGTCATGAGCCAGCCTGCGTCGCAGCCCTCAACTTCCCTGAACGTGCCAGGAGCCCACCGGCGGCACATGAAACGCACCGGGGGAGCAGGCAGTTACCGCCGCAGGGCTCCTTCTCTTCAGGCTGGCCACAGCACCAAAACCACCCAGCCTGTATTGCGGTGGTCTGTTTAACAGAACCAAAGATTCCCCCCTCTCTGTCTCCATGAAGAGAGCGACACACACACTTTGCTTATTTTTTAAATTCCTTGTTTATTTTGTCAAATGGCTGTTAAGAAGAGGAGCAGATGCGCTCTTGGACAGCGTGGTTTCTCTCCCCACATAACAGATCTTCGTTGCTCCTATTGATGGCAAATGGCTTGTGGTCACCTCTGGTGGTCGTGGTGTGCTTTTATCCATGAGACACTGTGGCCTTCAGGCCCACGTACGGGTTTTCAGAGTTCACTTACAAGCTTTTCAAGTCTGGCTGATGTTCCTGCTTTTCATCGAGAGTTCTTACTACCTTTACCTTTACCAGGCAGCCAAACCCAGCAAGAGATCTTGCTCCACCACCTCCTGGCTGTGACGCTTTGCACAGATGCTGCGGAAATGGGATGAGCAATCCACCCAGCCCGTTTGCCCACGGCTCCTGCTCCTGAGCAAACTCATGGCCAGGGTGCCCACAGTTCCCGCCAACAGAACATTTAGGATACGTTACTTAAGCAGTTAAAGGGAAGCTAACATCCCCTTCCCTGTCAGGAACTATTCAGGCTCTGGCTGAGATCGTAGCAATGTTGCTGAAGTTGTAGAGTTAATAACTGATTTATTATTGGTCAGCTACATTGTCACAAATGGCTGTTGCAGGAGTCCTTCATAGAACAAATATAGAGGGAAAAAAATTTTCAGTGGCCTGTTCCTCAAAAATAGAGGGGATGATACGCTGTTTGGGCCCCACAAAGAAATCTGGAACTACCCGTGACTATCACATGCTGTGCTTGGAACGCATTCATCCAACATTTAAAGCGCTCGAGGGTCGCCCTGAGGCAGCATTGGGAGGCCATGACAGAACTTG